GGGGGAGGAGGAGGGAAAAGGAAAGGGGTAGGGTGTGGAGGTATAGTCGTTAGGCTAGAGGGTTCGTAATCTTGAGGTTGCGAATTCGAGGATTCGAGCCTCAAACCCCACTTTATGTCCTTGAGAAAGACACTTTAAACTAATGTTCCTCTCTTCACCCAGGTGGGAACGGGTACTCGGTCATAAACAGCGAAAGATCTTGTCAGTATGTTAGTGTTTTAGCGTCAGTTAATGTTAGTTTGCACTGAATGCTTCCCCAGAGGTTGAAATTGTTTCTGAATGCTATCAGGTCTGTCTGCTTGGGTAATAACATATAGATTTTAAAGCGCATAGAAAATGCTTTTGAGCAGGAATTTACGCTATTCAAATTCTGTTTAATTTATTACTATTTGATTACTACCCACTAATCTAAAAGTTTCTTGGAATTCATTATTTTGACGAGCGCCTTGTTTTACATCTGGTGCTTCACACATAATTATGTTGGTCTACTCCTTGCAGGAGCAACTACTGTGGAGGTTGTAATTTCAACTTTTACCTCAACGATGTGGATGTGACGAGCGAGTGTGCTTCTAACTTTTAAAGAGAAGACCCCAGGAGTAGGTCAAGGTCGTGTGTTTGACCCGGTGCAGAATTAAGTACGTTTACTGATAACTATGCTTGGCTTAACCATGACCTCGACTGTGCAGTGCAGAAGTGTAGCGAAAAAAACGACTTGAATAAAGTTATGAGTGCACATGCTGTTTGTTTTTTGTTTATGCCTTCATTTTGTCAAGCAGTACATGGACCAGTAAAATCGAGACAAAGACTGGCCGGGGGCTCTCGCGCCTAAAGGTTAAAGTGTAGGCCTCTCATTCAAAGGTCCCAGGTTTGAATCGGGATAGCGACGGAAAAAAAACTTTCTTACCTAAAATTGTCCCCTTTCCTGGTCTCTAGTAATGTTCTGTCGTCAACTTTTGTCTCCACTTTCTGTCCCCACCCCCTCACCTCCCTTGCCCCCCTCCTCTAGGCTCCTGACTCTGCAGCCTTACAACCGCTACTCTTTGACTCCTTCTCACTGCTGTCTTTCAACCACACCCCTGATCTTCTTGTAGGAAAGATCTACACCTAGCCTTCTCGGACAAGGGCAAAAAATCTCGGAGGTCCCGTGTGCACGTTGCGCACGTTAAAGATTCTTTGGTGGTTTAGAATCGATAAGAGTAGGCTTCGGCCAGTTGTTATGTATGTATGATAAAACTGTTGGTGGTGTTTAGTGAGCGGAACGAATAAAGTTTATAGGTAAATAAGGTTTTGGTAGTGTTTAGTGAGGTGAACTTTGAGAGTTTTATTGGTAAGGAAAGGGTTCCTAGTGTTTAGTGAGCTGAACTTAGACATTTGAAAGGTAAAGAAGACATTGGTAGTGTTTAGTGAGTTGAACTTAGAAAGGTAATTTGTAAGGACGGTTTGATAGTCTTTAGTGGGGTGAATTTAGAAAGTTTATTGGTACAGAACACTCTGGTCACTGGTAGTGATTCGTGAGTTGAGCTTAGAAATTCTATAGGTAAAGAAGGCGTTGGTAGTGTTTAGTGAGTTGATCTTAGAAAGTTTTATTGGTAAAGAATTCGTTGGTAGTGGTTAGTGCGTTGAACTTTGAAAGTTTTATTCCTAAAAAAGGCGTAGATAGTGTTTAGTAAGTTTATCTTAGAAAGTTTTATTGCTAGAGAAGGCATTGCTAGTGTTTAGTGAGCTGAACCTAGAACGTTTATTGGTACCGTAAAGAAGGTGTTGGTAATGTTTAGTGAGTTGAACTTTGAAAGTTATATTTGAGAATTGAGGCCTTGGTAGTGGTTAGAGAGTTAAACTTAAAAATTTTACAGGTAAAGAAGGCGTTGGTAGTATTTAGTGAGTTTGACTTAAGAACATTTATAGGTAATGAAGGTGTTGGTAGTGTTTAGTGAGCTGAACATAGAAATGCTATTGGTAATGAAACTGTTGGTAGTTTTTAGTGAGTTGAACTTTGAAAGTTTTATTGAGAATGGAGGCGTTGGTAGTGTTTAGAGCGTTGATCTTAGAAAGTTTTTATTGCTAATAAAGGTGTTGGTACTGTTTAGTGAGCTGAACTTTGAAAGTTTATTGGCAAAGAAGGTGTTGGTAGTGTTTAGTGAACTGAACTTTGAAAGTTATTATTGAGAATGGAGGGGGTTGGTAGTGTTTAGTGAGTTGAACTTAGAAACATCATACGTAATCAGCATACATTGCAAACAATAGATTCCACACGTCTACAGCGCGCGCTACTCGATGAGAACCCGGTGTGTTTACTTCGCTCTGTGCTTATACAATGTGATGCCTTTTCTCTGTTAAGGCTCCCATAAAAAGTATGATCAATTTCTGTATGACAGCATTGGTCGGCAACACCAGACAACATGATTAAAAAAAATTGAATCGGTTAATTCGAAAGCATGCAAAATTTCAACATCTTGCTTTCGTCTACTTCGATGAATTATACATTTCGCTTGCAATAGAAAAATTATTTCCCTCGTTTTGGAGAATAAACATCCCTTGTTCCCTCAAATAAAAATATCAGTCTGAAGTAAAAGACATAGGCTTCTGATCTATGACAAAGAAAGATACCGACAGTCGTTCTGACCATCATCTATTACATTTTTATCATTTTAAATGTCTTGATATAAGTATTCCCATGACCTTTAAAGCATGCGATATCTGAATACCAATGCGTTACAATCAGAATACTGAGTACGTATTTAGTTTAAAACTATTAATGTTTATAATTACTGTTCAGTTATATTAGTGTTATAGTGTTATACATGTGAATGAGAGCCTGTCTGTGAGTGCAAGCATACTATTGAATAATTATGGTTATGTACAAAGATGTGTATGGAAGAGAGGATGTGTGAGTGAAGTGTGTGTGTGGGGGG